GGATCAGGCTCTCTATGAGCTGAGGGGTGAAAACATTATCTACTAGCACTTTGAGTTTCTCTTGGGACACTGCTTTCCAGGTAACAGTCCTTCCTTTTGTACTGTACTGTTCAGAAACACGGAATGAAGGTGTAAGAAAGAAATCTGATAATGGAATAGCCTCGCTGTTGGTAAAGTTTCTGCCTAACCCTAAAGCTTATACCCTAAAGCTTGGGAGCATAGTTTATACCCTCGCTTATAAGCTTAAAGCTTGAGAGTTTATACTTTTAACCTACCCTATTTTTGTTTCCTCTCCCAAGTGTAGGACTTCATATATATATATTAGGACTGAATTTTATCTCTGTGGAACTTATACTAAGAACCTTTTGTTGTTGTGCAAATTATTCAGCGACAGATCAGTTTCCAAGTGAAAAACCAGGGGTATAACCAAATCATTTCATGTTTTAAAGAAAAGACCAACATTAAAAAAGCAGAAATATGACAAATTTGAGGTTTGAAATACTCCACAATCTATTTAAAAGCCTTCTGAATTATACATGCATAAAAGTAACATTATGCCTAATGATTCAGTTTATCAGTTAGAGGAACATGCTCATATGTGAAGAACAAGGCTTCACTTGTTGATAATAATGTAAAAATCACACGTAGGCCCCGATTCTGCAACTTCTGCATGGGAGTGGACTGTTGCATCTGCATGGAGTCCCATCAAGCTCTCGGAGGCTCTGCATAGGCACAGCAATCTGTCTGCACACAATACATTTCAGGATTGAGACCCAAGAAAGAAGTGGAAGGTTAGGAGACCAAGTTCTTAAATAAATTGTCACAGCTAAGTCTCCAAGAAACATTTTCATGCAGATAAGTTGTGTTCAATTAGCCTATCCAACTCTATTGGCTTTTCCTGAAAAGTGTTGTGCCTGCTTCCGTGGCTCATAATGAAGGGTGTCTAAATAACCACATTAACAAAATGTACTCATCTTGACTACAAATGTGGGTGACTGTCAAGAAAGGAAATCAGGTTAGGAGAAACAGGTAATGCAAAACTGTAGTACATTTACAATTTGAATTTTAAAATGACAATGTCTGGTAATTTAGGCTCCAGAATTAGGTGATTTGTGGGGGGGGGGCGGAATGGAGGGGGTGTGGGGGGGTGTGTAGGGGTGTTTGGTTTTGTTTTTTTAAGTTTCATGGAAATGTTTTGGGCACCAATCCTGTGAGATGCTCTTCACAGTTAGACCCATGAGTCCGTGTTAGCCCCACTGACTTCAGTGGTACACTGCATGGGTGTACGGGCATGCCCATGTGAGGAGCTTGCTGCATTGATAACTGAGTGTTGATGAAACTATTTTTGTTTCTTTATTTCTTTTCATAATTTTGCAGAATTCTGACAGAGAAGGAGGAAACAAGGAAATTGACTAGAAACTGGCAAGTCCAGTTTCACTGCACAAAGTGCAAAAAGTAAACCAATGTGACCAACGGAAAAAAAACACAAATTTGTAAAATTCTTTCAGATTCTGTCTACAGCAGAAGTTCTCAAACTGTGGGTCAGGACCCCTCAGGAGGCTGCGAGGTTATTACGGGGGGGGGGGGGGCCCCCCCCCCCAACCCCTTCTTTGCCTCCGGCATTTATAATGGTGTTAAATATTTTTTTTAAAGTGTTTGACTTTAGAAGGGGGGGAGGGGGTCACACTCAGAGGCTTGTATGTGAAAGGGGTCACCAGTACAAAAGTTTGAGAACCACTGGTCTACAGTTTGTTGTTACCCAGATACAGATTTTAAAGATAAATATGGTTTTAATAAAAGGAGGGTGTCCCTGGGCTCTCTGAATGTAATAATACATATACATAGGCTCCAGGTTATCCCAAAAAGAACGAACAATGGAGAGTGAATGAGAACTCTGTCTTTTTTTAATATGAATACACTGATGATAGCCTTAACCGTGGGGAAGCCAGGTATCAGGCTGAAGATGACTTAACTGCATGGCCACGGGGAAACAGCTTATAAGAAACAAAGCAAAGCAGTCTATTCTATAATCTATTCTAGATAGGATTATATACTGCAGTCCTTAAGACATTTAGAAACCTGGTGCTTTTCTCAACACTTGAAAGAACTGCCCAGGCACCTTCCTAACACAAAGCAGTTGGCCCAGCGATTGATGCCACAAGCTTTATTACAACATTTAAAGGAAAATGAATCAGTCACCTGATCTGCTTGCTCAGTGAAGGAGTCGGTCATTTTCACAACAACACTGGCATTAGCTTCTTCATTTTCTGCTAGGTCAATGCTGGCAACCCACTGATAACAACAAACAAGAACAAAGAGAGAGTTTTACTTTTTAAATGGATCATTTATCAGTAAATAACAGATTTTTTTTTTTTTTTAAAAAAAGTATTTAAGGAGCCATACAGTCTGTACTTTGCCCACTTCACAGCTGGGGTGAAAAACCAATGCACTCGGTGATTTGCAAGGAAGGCAGCAATTGGCCAGCTGCAAACTAGCTGCCAAGCTTTACTCGTTCGCGGGGAGGAAGCCTCCCCCCGCTTTGGGGATTAGCTGCTGCAAGGAAGGGTTTAAAGTCTCTTCCTCTGGCAGGAGAAAGGAGTTCGTGGTGTGTCTCGGCGAGATTTACACTCTCGCTCGTCGGTTCTCAGAGTTCTGCAATTCACAGGTCACTGCCGGGGGAAAGCCCTGGCCGCTGGGCCGAAGCAACGCAGAGCGGTGCAGGGCTGCGATACACAGGAGAGCGCGTCCTCCGCGGGCAGCTGCTCCCAACCACCCCCCAAGCCATGCAGCGATGGCACTAAGTGCCCAGCCCGCTCTGTCGGTGGTTACCCAGTGCTTGGCTCTGAAATACTGCACGCATTTGGCTCCCAGGGCCCCTCTGCCTCCATACACCAGCACCCTGTGCGCCTCTGCTGCCGCTGCCATGCTCCGGCCGCTGCCTGCCCGGCTCCCTCTCGCCTTCTGAGCCTGCCGCTACCAGGGGCTTCGGAGCCCGCCCCGCCCCGCCCCGCCCAGCAGCTCCGCCTCCCCGCAGGGCCGCCCAGCGGCAGAGGGACCCCTTCGCTTCCCGCTTCCGCGCTCACCACCGCCATCTAGGCTGGCTGAGAAGCCGCGGGTGGCGCTGCACCAATTCCCCCCGGGCCAGGGATCAGTGCAACACGCCCCTGCGGCGGGCCTTCTGTTTAAGTTCGAGGTTTAAATAAGGACGCTTGGTTGCACACCATGGATGTATGTATCTATCAAATGCCGGTGAGACAGCGCTGTGCAACAGAATCCTTTGATAACACAGGCGCTATGTGCATTTTCGATCATTTTCCGCCCTCGGTGGATTGCCTTGCGCTCCTATACAGATTTCCCACGTGGCTAGGAGTCATTGTAGACTAGTGGCAGCAGAAACTTTCTGAAACTAATGCATTTTGGTTAAAAATAAAAAGGTCTAGCAAGCAACACGTTAATGCCCCAATACAAGGAAAAGCCAGGGTGCAAATGGTGCTGGAAATTCAGTAGGAGACACTATTGTTTGCGAGCAATCCCTCATGGTCACTACGGGCCACACATTGCACTTCATGTAAAAATAAAGGCATCTTGGTCAAACTCCAACTCAAAACATTACATCCTACTTAAATTTCTAGCGCATATGCAATGACCCTATATCCCTATATGTTAATTTACCAACAAAATGCAGCTACCTCTGACGACAGCAGCTATTAAGCAGAACACTACATAATAACTTAGGGCAGGAAATGTTTGTTCCTTTTAATACATTTGTTAGGTGATCTTATTCTCTGATGCTGGGCTCCGGGTAAGAATATGTACATATAGATTAGATAAAAGAATATTAAGTAACCGACTGAATCTGCAGGTGAAATTTAGGTCCACTGTAATCAACTGAGTTGGAATGTATCCAGGACTCCAGGGTTACCCTCCTTACTTTTGCAAATAGTGCTATGTGGGACCTTCACTGATGATAAATGATCAAGCCTTTGGTTTTATATTTTACCCAAAAGACAGCAGCACCTTTGACAGCACTAGTACCCCTCCACAACTTGTTTAGGCACTAGTCAGAGGAATATTATGTTACCTACTTTACAGGGATGCTGGGAGGATTGATTTATTAATTAATCATTGTAAAGAGCTTTGAGGTCCTTAAGTAAAAGTGCCTATAGATGTGCAAACTGTTTTTGGTTTTTTTTCAGTGCTATCTGGTAGTACTTCTGGCATGTACATTTGTGACTGTTTCTGCACATGTTTACATTAGCAAGTTGCTGGTATATATTAAAGAAGGCTGGCATTGTGCTTCTCTAAGCTACAACAAATTGCTTTGCATCCTATTTTATGTAGAAGATTAATTTAATAAGACTTGGCATCCTGAAACATCATTTATACACTTCAGTTAACAGGATTGGCGAATGGAGGGTCATCATTTTGTTGTTTACAAACAGTTCTGGTGGCTGTGACAGTAGTGACATTTAGAAAAAGGGGGACCGCAGCAAGCACCAAGGGAAAGACATTTGATACAGCTTCGGTGTCAGCAGAATTCTGTTGCCAATTTTTTTTTCCACATTACATCCCTTTCACACAATTTGTTTAACTTTTCTTTATAATCCATACAACTGAATTGTGCATCTAAATTTCTCCCATGTGATCCTTGTCAAGAAATTAGTGTCATTTGAGTATTTAAAACAGGGAACAATTAAACCCTCTGATGAAACATTAGTCGTGCAATAGATATAGGATTACTTTCTGCAGAAACAAGCACCACTGCGCTACAGTGTAATGAAGTTGTTCTTCGCAACCATTTCAGGATGTTGTTGTAGCAAATCTACACTTTGGGCTTGCTTTTTAACCGTGCCTCTGGTTTTAAAATACAATGAGATTTAAAGGGTGTGTGTGGAATAACTGGCGTCTTACTACCTGTGGATTTCTGAGCAGCAGCAAAATGTGAAACTCATCTAATTACTGCCGAGAGGCCTTGGAGATGATTTCTTGAAACTACTAGGATGCCCAACTGCTTTAAAAAGACCTTGTTTGTCTTGGCTTCTGCATTGAGTTTTGTGTCTTTTCTCTTGATTGTCATTGCTATGGGGACCCAAAAGTGGATGACTGGCAAAATCCTTTGTAAAACAGGAGCTGATTTGGTCAACGCCACAGACCCAGAGCTAGTTAAGTTCATTGGAGATATTTACTACGGACTCTTTCGGGGGGGCAAAATACGACAGTGTGGTTTGGGTGGGCGGCGTTCCAAATTCACAAGTAAGTAAAGTTTTGGTTGAATATATAAATAAATTCTAAGAGCATTGTAAGTCCTTTTGTTTGTAGTACCTGTAGAATAGGAATAGTTATTGAACTCACATCTATGGCTCATTTTCCTTGTGGCTTTTATGGTTCTGAAATATGAGTGAGAATTTTAAAAAACAAACATTGAGTTATGTTCTTTGGTACAACCTTATATCACTGCATATGCAGATAAGAAAAATATTCCTTAATTATTATGGGATAGACTGAGAGTTTCCTTTAAATTCTGTGCTAGGGCCTTTGTATCTCTGTACCACCCTAGGAGGAGTTCTGGGAAGGAACTGTGACTCAGAGCCTCCCCTCCGAGTCAGGATTCTCTTAGAGCTCCTATTTTACATGGGGGAAGGGAAAGTATGTTGTGTTGGTCAACTATCCTTCCCTTGTGTCCAGCTGACTCCAAAGGCTGTAACATAGAGGGAGGAGCCATGGCTCTGCGTGCTCCTTGACTCTCTCTTCTTCCACCATGCCCAGCTGTTTGTGGGAGGGAATATTGGCATACGGCCCCTGCTCACTCACCTGCCAATGCCTGAGCTCAATATCTGGGTAGATCCTGTTCAGGGGAATGGAGGAAGGGGCAGCTTTATATCCCCTTAGTCTCCAGCTCAATCATGTAGGGCTAATTCAATCCTTAATAAATACAGACTTTCTCATCAGTTGCTACGCAACCTGAAGGGGAGTGCTATAATTGCACAGTGACTACTGGAATGCATGGATAGTATGCCAAAAGGGTTTGATCCTACAGTGCTTATGCAAACCAAACTCCAGTTAAAATCAGTGGGACTCTTCCTTGCTAGGACTGCAACCAGATGGCAGAGTTCTGTAAATGAATACGGTATTGAGATTTCCTTTTTTAAAAAATTATGAGATCTTTAGTTAGATGCTGTGGGCTAACATCTGGCCTCCCCTCGAGAGATTGCCTATGCTGGGTGTGGCTGCTGGGCAGGCACTCCGGAGCCATTTTGCCAGTGCGCAGCATACATGGGTAGAATACCTCAGGAGGCCCTAGAGGACCACACTTAATAAGGACCCTTCTTTCCATTGCTTTAGAAACAAGTTACTGAGCAGACTCCCAAACCCAGTGGCCTCAGAGGACTGTGTGATGGGTTATCTGCCCCCAGCCCTTGATGAGGACGCACAGGAGCTCTCTTCATCCTCTTTCCCTCCTCCACGTACAAATCTGCAGGCTTAGTCGAATTTTGCCCTGTATGTTTTGTCCTTATGCCCCCTCCCCTAATAAACTGCTTCATATTAGTGCTCCCAGTATCACACTGACAGTGTGTGCCACAGAAGGCCCTACCATGATAATTATTCTCTAATAACAAAGGATACTAGTTTCTGTCTCCACACTGCTCAGGTATCCTCCTACCTCCCCCACTCTCCTTCCCTCTATTGGTCCTGTTCTTCCTCAGGCTCCAATTTATAGCAAAGCCTGTCAGTGTGGTGATTAATTTTTAATTTTTAACCCAATTAACAACCCAAAAATTTAATAATGGAAGCATAAACTTTAAAAAATACACATGCATGAAGAGCACTGAATTTTTCAAAGTAATCCAATCGACTTGGGTCTATGGAGGCATGGACATCTCAGAGAAGTGGAAGAGTTGCAAGGGATCCTGCATGTGTTACTTCACATAGAGCCACATCAAACCTAAGGCCAGCTCGGACTGGGATGCTCTGCAAACTTTATACAAAATGTAACTAAAACTTGGCCAGCAGCCCAGCAAAGCTAGCTGTTACTAAACTACAACTGAGCCAAACATAGAAAAGAAAAAGAAGGTGAAAGGGGGAGGCTAAAATGGTCAGTGATATACTGACCCAAATAAAAAGGCCTTAGACCATGCCTGAAAAACAGTCATAGAAGGATTCTGCTGAACAGCTTCTTGATTCTGTAGATGGGGTCCCTAAACAGAGAATGGCGGTTCCCTTGCCTTGTTCAGAGTCAACCTGAAAAAGGAGACTGAGAAAACTCATCTGACCACAGATACATTGGAGGGAACCCAGGGGAAACCTTGGGCCTAGATTATTGAGAGCTTTTTATAGGTTGGGCCTGCGGACATGAACTGGCAGGGCAAGAAGACTGGGACTAGGAGCCAGAAAAGGAAATGGAGGTTGTGGGAGGGACTGGGAGCAAGTGGATGTGGGGAAGACTGAGATTGGATGAGATGTCGAGGGAGACTGGGACTGGCTAGGCAAAGAGACTGAGAACCAGTGGGGCATGGGGAAGGGGAAAGATTTATCTGCTGAGCAACCAGGGAGCAGGGGAGAACTGGTACTGATTAGGGAAAGGAACGGGAACAAGGACACAGAGATTGGATGGAGAAGGATTTGGACTACAAACAAGTGCGGATAGGGTCTGTGGCGGGAGGGGGGCAGTGACTACACGCCAGGTGTGGATGATAGATCGCATGAGGAGCTGGGAGTGGCAGGGAACTGGGATTAGCTGGGCAAGGAGTTGGGGGAGGGGGGCCTGAGAAGGGGAGTTTGGAGGGGTGGGATTAAGACTTGATGGGCAGGGAGACTGGGTGAGAAGCCTGAGAAATAGCGAATGGGACTGGCTAATTGAGGAGAATGAGACTGAGATGACGAGCCGGGTAGGGAAAAGAAGGGACCGGACTGGGACAGGTTGGAGGGAACAGGGTAGAAGGGGTTATGCTTGAGGAGAATGGGCAGAACAGTCTGGACCCATGGGAGCATGGAATGAGGCAGGGGTCCTGTGGAAAAAATAGTATGTGACTCTGTAATTAAAGGCTGTATTATAATATATACACACATGGGGAACAGGCAACCTTAACTGTGACATTTCATTAGCACTATCTATTGAGACTGCAGTATCATATCTAGCCTGCTTAAGGCAGCCTGGCCTGTAGTGAAGTCTCCTAGGCTTACAGCCTGATTCAGCAAGGCACCTAATCACATTTAGTTGCTGTATAAGTTTAATACAGATACATAACTATTAGAAATGAGCTCATGGTACCGGGTTTGGATCTGAGATTGTGTCTACATTTGGAACTAGGTGTATGATTCCCAGCTCATATAGACATAGTTGCCCTAGCTCTAATCAAGCTAGCATGCTAAAAATAGTAATGTAGCCGAAGTAGCATGGGGATCAGTGAGCAGTGGCATAGGCTAGCTGCCTTGTGTACAAACACACCTGGGCCACAAGGGTGCATAATCTGGGCGGCTAGCCCGTGCTGCTGCTCGCCACTGCCCATGCCACAGCAGCTACACTACTGTTTTTAACACACTAGCTCAATGACCGCTAGTGTGAATATGTCTACTCGAATTGGGAGATCACACTCCCAGCTCATAGCATAGACATATTCTGTATCTGAATTTCCCCAAAGTTCAGGGGGGTACAGGGTCAAAATTCTGCTCCTCTGATGTAGTGAGCAGATAAATTCATCCCTCATGAACTAACACACCTGTATCTACCCAGATTGACTCCTCCCGTAAATAATGCCTTGTTAATTTGAGTGAAAAGCAGTTTATAGCATCAGTATAATGTGTATTCTGTAATTTTCACAGGAAGATTTATACACTGAATAACTGAATATTTGTTTCTTGCCAGTCTTCCCTCATCTGGTGAAAAAGCTGAATGCAGGCCTTCATGTGATGATTTTAATCTTCCTTTGTGCGGCCATTTCCTTTGCTCTGGTCAGTTTTGGATTCTGCATTCTCAATGCAATAAAAGTTCCATTCCGAGCTATTAAAGGTCCAGCAGGTATTTGCCTATGGAATTTACTTGCAGGTAATATAATTTTAAAATATTTTTTACTACCAACCACATTTGAATAAAATGGTAAAAGTAAATGTCTACAAAAATAAAAACATCTTCCCCTTGCCATATCTATATTTCTCCTTGGCTTATATACTTGTGTGCAAAAATAGAGTTAGCACTGAATTCCCCTGTATTAGAATAAAACTATTAGAAGGCATTTCAGCCTTAAGCATATAGTAGATTATTTTGTATGAACAGGGAATTCACATATATAGCCTCAATATCACATACAAGAGAACTTTAATAGAAACATAACATTGGTGCAATGCTTGGTCACCTAACTAATAAAGGCCCCAGTTCAGGAAAGCACTTAGGCACATCCTTAAATCCATCCTTAATCTGGATAGCACTTAATTATGTGTTTAACTTTAAGCATGTGCTTAAATCATGTTTTTGTGAATCACAGCCAAAATGTCTGACTTGTTTTGAAAATGATTAATTATTTTTTCATTCTGTTGCAGGAGGCTTTACATCACTGGCAGTCACTAGCTTTATAGCTGCTGTTAAACTTCATCACCTCACAGAAAGAATTGCCAATTTCCAGGAAAATGTCTTTCAGTTTGTAATTTTGGAAGAACAGTATGAAAGCTCCATTTGGCTTTGTGTGGCTAGTGCTACATCTCATGTAGTAAATTTGTTGCTAATAGCCATAAGTGGGGTTCATTTCCCTGAATTCAAGACTAAAACAGAAGAGGCGACTGTTACAGCAGAAGATATCATGTACTGATAACCTTCACCTACATAAAACTAGTTCTACAAAGTGAACTCTCATGATAAGAACAGCTCCTTGGTTCTGCAACTTTTGAACTGGATGGCGATTGTTGCTGTCATGGACAGTATAACTGCCACTTGCAGAAATATACAGTATTTTTGAGGCCAGTTGTCAGTACCAGCAATTAATATTCACTGCAAGGAAGACAAACTATAGAAACCTCATGATTGAAAAACTAACCAATATGGACAACAATAAAGTTATTTTCTAGAATATTTTTCATCTTAAATATTTTACATATCAGAGTTAAAGTATGTTTTCACCAAAACCAAAAAGTGAACTATAGGTAAGGAAGAGAATACATAAATCGCAATACTTCGGCCTTTAATTTACTAGAATGCATTTTTATTTCAAAGCAGGAAGAACAGACACAGGATTTAAGGTTTTATCCAGAGTTGCAAGCTATTTCCTCAGAATTCTCTAGAAAATCTGAGAGGGCCAAGTACACCTTGTTTATTGATGTGCTACAGAACTGGAAAAGTAAACTCCATTACCTGGAAGACTGAAATGTAAGGGAAAGCACCAAGAACTTGTGGAAAGATTTAGAAACTTAGAAACAAATATCAAAAGCTAGACTCTAGAGAAGTGGAAAGAAGAAGAATATGGAATATTATAATAAGAATATTCTTAGGGAAGAATAATAGCATCTAAGAAAAGTGAAGAGCTGGAAAGTGAAGAGCTCTCTAGCCAATGATGGGCAAAATGTTTGTACACAGATGCTAAATAATATTAGGATTGTTATGATAACCTGAAGATTCATATTCTGATAGACTTATGGTCCTCGGGCCTCTGCCAATTCTTGTTTTTATCTGAAATTAAGTACAAAATGTTGTCTGATGAAACAGTATTAAAATGAAAAAGTGTTATACTAAAATGGTTAGATGTGTGGAAAAGTTTGTTTGTGTGAAATACCAGCACTACCACAAGCATTTAATCAACTGAGTCACAACTGATGCGTCATAAACTGAAAATCATCAAGCCTTAAGGTGAACATGAGACTTCTTGAGTTTAACTATCATAGTGAAACAAAATAGATTCCTAAACTATTTATAGATGACAGTTACAGAAAATTGGATGTAAAGAATTTATTTGAATTCATGAAAAACTCTTTTGGTAAAGCTACCATCCCAAATTAATTCTTAAAACACATTTTATTTGTAGTCATCTGATTAATGGAAAACTGCTATATTTTGTAAATTGCAAATACAAATCTTTATTTTAGTCAAAGCCCCTATCAAAAGAGGTATGAAAATCTTTTAGAAGAAAGATCTGAATAGTTCTTATACTGCTGCAGGATATTTTAAGAAAATGCTTCATTTTTATATGAAAATCCCTCTACACTGAAAAAATAATTTTAAAAGCCAAGGTCAACACTTTCAAACTTGAGTACTTGCATTTAGGTAAAATTCTGTATCTGATTCCAAACAGAGCAGCTGGAAACTCATTCCATAAGCATTCAAAAAATTCACCCATAAAGATTACAAAATAGCAGGGTAAGGAAAGCAGCGGGAATTTTCAATGCTTTTGGAGCACTATTATCATCAGCTTTGCATGAGTGAGAAGCTAGAGTCAATAAAGGAGATGTTTCCTAACCCATAAGCTATAACAGCCAATTTTGTCCTGTATTTGTTTTACTTTTGCTTTGTTGACTTTCCTTCCTTGAGTCCAGAGGCCAGGGGTCGACAACCTTTCAGAAGTGGTGTGCCGAGTCTTCATTTATTCACTCTAATTTAAGGTTTCGTGTGCCAGTAATACATTTTAACGTTTTTAGAAGGTCTCTCTCTATAAGTCTATATTATATAACTAAACTATTGTTGTATGTAAAGTAAATAAGGTTTTTAAAATGTTTAAGAAGCTTCATTTAAAATTAAGTTAAAATGCAGAGCCCCCGGTACCGGTGGCCAGGACCTGGGCAGTGTGAGTGCCACTGAAAATCAGCTCGTGTGCCATCTTTGACACGTGTGCCATAAGTTGCCTATCCCTGGTCCAGACTATGGTGAAGAGGCAATATTAGGAGCCGAACTGCAGAAATCCAACCCACAATGTGAATATGACTTATATCTTAACAGCCCACTCTTGTCTATCAGTGCCCCCTGGAAGAACTCATCATTAGTGTTCCCACCTTACCCTCACCTCCCAAAACAATTCTGGCTGGTTCTGAATCTTGGGCATATGGCTCTGCTTTACTACATAATTGCAGACCCCCCTAGTGCTGCTGTAGTTGAGACTGAATTTAAGCACAAACTTAACTGCAAAACTTCTTTCCAGGTTGAAGCTTGGTACACAGCACAAGGCCTTACAATGCAGCACTTATTTTTTTTTAGTCAAAGAATTTAGTGTAAAATGAAATATTTGTCAAATTATAATGCTGTTCTGTGAACATGTAACTTAAAAGCAGCTTTGATACAGAAACAATAAAATCATGGCAAGTAATTTATCCATAACTACCTTTAACTGCCTTAAGGAACTGAAAAAGGAAAGGCACTTAGAGATATTTAATTTTGAGAAAAAGCTATAAAAGTGTATGGGAGCTACTTTTCATGAGGATTTTTACCGCTTATTCCAACACATTTTAAAAACTGCTGACATAGTGCATGGTCCTGAAAACCCTTACTCACGTGAGTAATCTACATGGGGACTACACACCTGAGTAAGGATTACTGATCAGAGTGAACGTTCATTGGACTAGGCTCGCAAATTGATCAAAGTGGCTCTAAAGGTACCATTAGGAGCCATTGTGTAAATAAGACTAGAGAAGATGGCTCAGAAGATTGGTATAACAACCTTTTACTTCTTGGTCACCAGTTCAAATTCAGCCAACATCACACATACAAAAATTGATGCAACATTTTGCAATAATAGTCCAAAATGATATCACTTACAATAGGTTCATGGCTATCACTCTAGAAGACTGTAGTACTGTTTGCACAGTGTGTAGTGTGATCAACTATCATTATCATCTGATGACTGGGAAATGAGTTGGTAACCTGAGTTTTGTTCCTGATAGACAAGTGCTTGTATCACAAAAACTACCATGACAGCTGATACCCTTAGAGGAAGTCACCTGGACTGAACAGATTTGCAGGCTGAATTAGCCTTTCACCCCCAGAGGTCATCTCCCCAAAATACGGTTGAGACATGTTGACAGGAAAGGGTGGAGGACACTTGCATTTTAGCTGTCTGTACTGTAACGTTCTGTAAAATCCAAATTCTGATTACAGTTAATGGTGTGCAAATACAGAATAACTCCCCATTGATTTAAGTGGGTTATTTTGGATTTAAATTGGTATAAATGATAAGAGAATTTGACCATAACCTCAGTTGGTTCAGATGCTGAGGGTTCATTAGCATTTTGTGCTTTTAAATGTCCCTTATTACAAGTGTAACGTCCTACGCACGTATCCTTGTGCTTTCAAATGATTTTTGTCATAAGGACTCATTCAGTTGTCAACAAATACTGCTATTACTTTAGTTCACAGATTTACATTTAGCTTTATACTCCCTAGATTATGAATACTACTACTGTACTAGAATTACTCCACTCTTCTGGCTTAAAGCCCTTTTAGAGCCTTCACACATTACTAATATTTGCCAGTGATTCGTATTAGTGATTACAATTACTAGTGACTGAATCTATAACCTTAACTATACAAGACTAGCAGTCTGCTACAATTATAGATGGGACTGGTAGCACTATCTATTTTAAGGTTGCCCAACACGTCCTAATTATAAGACCCTGTTTTCAGTTACCAAACTTTAATTGTTTGGTCAGAAATATTCAATGTCAGGAATCTGCCTTAAGCTGGTTATTATTATCATTATTTGTAAATTTTAACCAAAATGGTTTGTTGTTTCCAAGAATGAGGTTGGGGGAAAATATGTTGTTTTGCTCATGTTAAAAAATATTCTGGCAGCCTTTTCTTGAGAAGCTTTAGAGCAGTGGTGACAGCAAAACGACTGACCAAGTATTCTACAATTGGTTAATAACATAGTAAACACATCCTGATTGGTTAATAATTAAATCACAGTGTTCTAATATCATGTGATGCAACGAGCCGCAGGAGACACATTAAAGAGCCATTTGGGGCTCCCGAGCCTCAGTCTGAGTATCACTGCTCTAGAGCTTTGGAGTATGAAATTTGGCAAGGGGGTTAGCTTTATTCCAGGAATGTGTCTTTTGCTGTCCCCATGACAATCTGTCCATATTTGGCCAAGTTATAACCCTTTGAAAAATTGCAGTTCACCCGTGCTCAGAGATTTCTTAGATTCTAGCAGTTACATTCAACTGACGATTCTGTCTGCACTGGGCATGCTCTAGCTAGGGGCTGAGCACAAATTTCTTGCAATTGCAGCTCTGCACTGCTGTGGAGTGTGCTGGGTTTGGGCACCTGAACAGAGAGCCAGTCTCTCCTCGTCTATCAGTCATCCTGCTGCTGGGCCCAGGAGTGTGGCAGAGGAAATTGCCTTATTCAAATACAGAGGGGACGGTATCTGTGGGGAGAGAAGGGGACTGGGACTGGGAGTTGGCATAGGGGAGACTGGGAATGGCTGGGCAAGGCGATTCTGACCAGGAACTGGGGAGAGCAATGGAAGAGGGGGACTGGGAGCCAGAAAGTGGGGAATGACTGAGACCAGATGAGGAGTGGGGGGAAACTGGGACTTACGGGGCAAGGAGACTGGGAGTGAGAACCAGTAGGGCAGAGGGAAGGGGGTGAAGGGAGAGGGGAGACAAATCTGACAAGAAGTGGGTGTCCATGGGGAGAACTGGGACTGGAGGGGCAAAGAGGCTTGGACAAGGAGCTGGGAGAGGGAGGCTGAGGGATGCTGAGACTGGATGAGTAGCCCAGGGAAGGACTTTAGGACAGGGAGTCAATGGAGAATGTGGGTGGTGGGGGGAGCATGGAAGCCAGGGTAGGAGAGAGACAAATTGGATTGAGACAGCAGGTAAGGAAACT